ATTAGCATATCCGGTGGTCTCAATCAAAGAAAGTAAAGTATCTTAATGAAGTTTTAAAAAAATCGTATGAAAGCACGTTATCTTGTGATTGGTGACGCAGTCACCCATTGAACAGCTCACAAGATTTTGAAAATCCGGAAAGAGTTGTGCTGATCGAATTAGTGAAAGGAAAGTATGATATGATTAGAAAGCAGAGGAAGAAACGGAATAGCAAACATTCAGTTCCGTTTGCTTTCTCATTCAGTAGTCCTATATGGACATTGAGAAGCTTACGATTGAAGCTTCCATTGTTCAATGACTAATATTATAATAATATTTTTCATCTTAATGAAACTAATAAGAGTAGATTACGGCAAACAAACTCGTTCTCATGCTCAGCGCCTAGTCTCTTTGCATGAAAACGAAGACGAAGACTCATTTTGTAAAGAAAGTGAATGAGCTTGTGTATGGATGATACTTCGTCCTTATTTACTTATCCATATGACCTATGCAATGACTTTAATTGTTTTTTCAATATTCAATGAAAGATCTTTGGGGTGGACAAGTGAAAATACTTTGAAACAAAACAAGAAGCACTGTGCTCTTAGGCAAAGGTCAACATGGCATCCTTCCTATGACTGCACGTCATCACGCAAACTAATATGCGTGGGAATATGATTATGAAAGGTTTTCCCTCCTTTTTTTGTAAATTATTTAACACTTACTTCTGGCAATGGCTGTTGTTTTTCTACAAACTTTTCCACAACGTTTTCCTGTCGAATAGCTGGCTTCTGTGCAGCTGATACACCCACCGTTGGCGGAGCAGCTCTGATCTCAGAATTTGGCAATTGATCTTCTTGCGCCTAAATTGATTTATAATCATTTAGCAGTTTTTGCTTAATTGTTGCAAAATAGATGTGATCTCTCGTCGATCATCATCTTCTTATCCTTCTTCAACTTATTTGCTTTGAACAATACTCTCTTTCGTTCGGTTTTTTTCTTCCATTTCTTTACTTTATTTTAAAAACGAAACGAAAATGATTGAAGAAAGTAATTGATTGGATACTGTGAAAGTTTTGTTTATTTTCATATATTAACGTTTGTTAAAGTAAATATCTTTTCACACTAATTAGAGAGAGACGAAGTGAAGAGAAGAGAACAGAGGAAGAATGAGAGGGACGAGGAATGGAAAGAGGTACGGAGAGAAGAAGCAAAAACAGAGATTCTTAAGTGTTAAGGCTCCTCAATTGACAAATGAGACTTCAAACTTAATCTATCAATTCGAAAAAAAAACTTGAGAAAAATAAAAAAAAAGGATGGGCAACTCGTCACACTTTCTAGCACTTTCTTCGGATAAGGAAGTCTGACAAACCTTTGCTGTTTGTTTCAATGGGCCATTTCTATCCAGAGGTCCTAAGTCCTTCTGGGGAACAGACTTCATTACTGGGTTCCAGGAAGCTTCAAAGTTGAACACTGTTGCATTTTGTTTGGTAAGAACTCACGTTTGTTTCCTGTGGGACGTGGAGCATGATGAATCAAAGTAGCTCCAGTGGTTTGCAGTTCGGAAGAAGGAACTGATCCTTGGATTTCTTTCTTAGAGTCATGCATACCAGCAGGAGATGAACCAGAGGTTGACTGAACACTGCCAATACTCTGGCTAGCTTGTGTTTTCTGTGGAGGAGTTGGTGCGACTCTTGTATTTGTGTTTGCAACAGCTGGTTTCACGTTCTGTGCTACCTGCTGTTGTTGTTGACGAGACTTTGCTTGAGCTTCAGCTTGTGCTTTTGCTCTTGCCTGAGCTTCAGCCTGTGTTTTAGCTCTTGCCTGTGCTTCGGCTTGAGCCTTAGCTTGTGCTTGAGCTTTGGCTTGATTGTCAGCTTGAGCTTTAGCTTGTGCTTGAGCTTTAGCCTGAGCTTCAGCTTGTGCTTTAGCTTGTGCTTGAGCTCTAGCCTGAGCTTCAGCTTGTGCCTTAGATTGGGCTTGAGCTTTTGCTTGGGCTTCGGCCTGAGCTTTAGCTTGTGCCTGAGCTTGTGCGTTTGCTCGAATCTGAACTCATAAACGTCAAAATAAATTTATTCGAAGTATTCAGTATACCTGTGCATCTTGTTGAGCTTTCAAGGCTTGACTCCGCGCTTGCGCATCTGCCTGTGCTCTGGCCTAAACAACAACGAAAGTATGTTATTTTACGAATTCTATTGACCTGAGCTTCGCCTTGAGCCTTCTTCGCAGCTTCCATTCTAGTTTGAGCATCCAACTGGGCTCTAGCCTACAGTATAAGTAGTTGAGTAATCATCTCTTTCAATAAGCATACCTGAGCCTCTTGCTGAGCTTTTTGCGCTGCTGCAGCTCTAGCATTAGCATCAGCCTGTGCTCTAGCCTGAGCTTCAACTTGAGCTTTTTGTGCAGCCAAAGCACCATCCTGTTGTTGTTTAAGAGCACGAGCTTGCTCTTCTGCTCTCGCTTTAGCTTCTTGGGCTTTACGTAGTGCTTCTTCCTGTGCTCTTTTTGCCTGCTCTTGAGCAGCTTGTAAGGCTTTGGCTTGAGCCTGACGAGCTTCAGCAGCCCGGCGCTCAGCATCAGCTTGGGCACGAGCCTGAAATACTCAATTATGAGTGTTAAAATGAAACCAAGCTTACAGCTTGTTCTTTCGCTTGTATGTCTACTTGGTTCGTTCCGGCATTCTGTGAATAAACGATAACTTCAATCTATATGTGACTCAAAACCTGGTTGTGAGCTTGGGCAACTCGAGCAGCAGCAGCTTGAATTGCAGCAGCTTGTTGGGCCTACATAAACGTTTAACGACAATAATTTTTCGACAATCACCTTAGCTATCTGCTGTTGTTGCAACATACGCTGTCTCTCTTCTAAGGCTTTTTTCTCCTGTTCTGTCTTTTGTACGGCTTGTGGAGCAGCAACCACGACTTCATTAGCTGGAAGTATTATTAAGATAGTTGCCGGAAGAACAAAGATACCTTGCTGCTGGTTGGCCATATTCTGAATTTGACCAAGGACAGCCGCTTTAGCTTCTTGTGGGTTAGCTGCCGGAGGGGCACCTAACACCCTAAACCCGGAGGAACGACGAGGTTGGACAACTACCTCATCATCAGATTCTTCCTCAGAAGAACTGTCGTTTCGATCTCTACCTGAAATATTATGAATGCTCCAATTGATAAGAGATATGAGCTTCTCTATTCATCAATCAACTAAAACAAAAGATGAAAACCCGTTAGTTGAAATCACACATTTGAAATTTCAAACTCGAGAGAGAAACTTTTGAGAAAAAAAGAGGTGAAAGCACCATAAAAGGAGTCCAACCTATCCAACAACTGCTACTCGCGGATCCAGGTAATTGAGGTAAAAGTCCGAGTATGTTGAAAGGACCTAGAAGAATCCCAGGGGATATGAATGTTTTTGACAACAACAACTTCCAAACGAAGTTGTGTTCGCATAAGAAGATAGGAAAAGCTTTACATGGAGATTATTGATGAGGTTTTTGCTGTTAAATATCATCACAAGATCTTCATTCATTTTTCTCTTCTCTTCTTGTTTTTTTTGTAGTTGAAGAGCAGGAACGTAGGTGGAAACCAACTGACCCAGCTTGTTAGATTGTCAAGATGGAAACAACTTAGTCAGTTTTCATAAAATATTGTTTTTGAACGGAAAGCGAAAGATGTGTTGAAGGAATCATTTTATTATCCGATGTTTGAAGGGGGACACAGAAGAGAAAAAAAATTTTGTCAACACCTTGTCAGACATCCTCGTTGTATGCTAATTCGATTAACGGATGTTTCAAAGTGTTACACAACAATCGTTTCGACTCTCTCTCTCCTCGTTTTTGTTCAAAAAGTTCTTTTGAAGCACACAAAGAATTATGAGTAAAGCAATGTTAAGAGTACAAACTTCTTCAAATCTTGTTAGAATTCATCAAAAACGGAAGAAAACGGGGCAGGTGCTTACCTGTTGCCGGCATTTCGTCGTTTCGCTCACCAACAACAGCCTTGCTTCTATTTCTTTACTAGAATGTTTCTCTTTTATCTTCTTCTCTTTTTCACAAATCTGAAAGAGGAGGCGGAGATATCACCATTGGTCTCCGAAATTTTCAAAACTACACTCAGAAGCAGACACCCGAGAGATATATTACAATAAGATTAACAAAGAATCATGGAAAAATGAAATTAATTTTCATTTCGCATGCTCCTCATCACGTCCATCGCATTTCCACGATAAACTCACTACAAGAAGCTTCCAAGACTATCAATTTGACATGATTATTGTGTGTTAATCCCACAGTCGGAAGATTAATTTGAACGTTTAAGAGTATCACATTCGCTTGTTATCTTTTCTATTTTTTAATCCAACACTTGTGCGAAGGTTTATTGGTCAATTAAGATTGAACGTTACTCTCGAATGTAACAAGTAGTTTCCTTCGGTCAAGAGTTTGTTTAGTCTTCAAGCAACTATCATAGTGAAGTAAGAGGGATGTGCAATCTTCATGTATATCAACTACGTACATATGGGGAGATATCATTTCATACCATCTTCATGATAGCAGTGGATTGATAAAGTATCGACTGAGGACACATCCAGAGTAACACCAGCACTGTTGCATAATGCAAGGAGAGACAGAGAAGGAAAGTTTCATCGTTTGCTTCTGCTCTACTTGCCTACTCAAACTACGATTGAGGTGATTTTTAAATTTCGGTTTGAATAGGTTCCATACTCTGTATATAATGCGAAATTATTTCTATACCTGAGACATTGAAATGCTCGTGAAACAGTGATACTTCAAATCAATGAGGAACGGAAGCTGCTTGGAAACGAACCTTCCCTTTTTCTCCTTTAAAGATCGAGAATCCATTCTACTGAATCTGTCCTTAGTGCTCAAAAAATGTTGTCACAGCCAGAAAAAATATGTTTTTATCGAAAATTTAAAGAGAAATTGACAAGTTATTCGGATATCATTAATTATTCGTGAAATCTTTCGGAATATACTCCTTCGTGTGCTTCAGCATTCATGCTGCTCATAGAACCCGATGATAGAAAGCTGTGTAAGCTTCTGTATCCAAATTCGTTTCTGCTCGAACTTTCATGATCAATCGATCATGATTCGGCTGTTCCAACTGTCTCTCAAACTAAATACATCCCTTTGATCTTCAGCTGAAGTGAGTAACGCAAACCTCACGAATTTCTAGATCATTCCGACTTCCAACGTCAAAGCTTCGGCGAAGATATTGTTTCAAATGGAATGTCATTACTTCACCTTTAACTTGACCTTGCTCCATCATGGACCAACCTATATATTTTTTGTTTCTCTCTAATACTCAATATCATTTTCGAACCTTCACTAGAAGTGGTGAGGTAAGCTACGTGAACTCTGGGATCTCTTCTGGTAGCATTCTTGACAGGCATATAACCATAGTCATGACGAAGAACTTGGTCGTTACGATAATAAGTATGTCTAAAAGCATAAATTTATACTTCAGTGAGAAATGTTCGAACGTGATATTGATAGCTCTGGCTCCAAACTTTGGAATGGGATTGATAGCATAATCGATTTGATCAGGAGGAGGTAAGTCCTATGATAGTATGTTCTGCATATTACTCAAGCCATTATCTTACCCTCGATCTACCGTTGATATTATCCAAAGCCCACAATCCAATAATGTTCTGTACTGGACGTAAGTCAAACGGCATCTTGTTTAAATCATATTCTGCAATATCGATTTGATCAGCATTTCTTAGCATATATAACTCACTATCTTCATATCTAGCTCCAACCAAGACGACTAGAAAAACCAAAGCTATAGTGAGTTTCATCTCCTGCAATAAATAAATAGTATGGAAGTTAGAAAACAGGAAAAGCAAAGGTAGCTTCAAAAAGCAATTGCTGTTCTCCAAAACAAAATTAAAAAATGAAAATGAGAAGAAGGACGACTCTAATGATTCAGCTTCAACTTGAAATCACTCGTGACGAAATAGAAGAAGTTAAGAAAACGAAACGAAAATGAAAGCCAAACGGGTGATAATACTGACAATGATGATTATAAAACAAAACTTCCTCTAGGTTTCAGACAGGTTTTGCAATAGAATTGAATGTGTTGAAAACATTGATTAGCTTATAGCTTCCGAAAGGAATCTTCTGATGAGCTATCACGTATCAAGAGCATCATACTACACAGAAGTAAGTTGAAATTCAATTTAGACGACGACATGATAGAAGAAGAAGAGAAGTGCATCGATCATTTTGTACAGTTTTCCAGTCGAGAATGTGTACGATTCCTTAACAAGCGAATTTAACAAAAACACGTTCAGAAGCAAGTCATCTCGACTATTGATGTCATGAAAGAAGCTTTAGTTGGTTGTAATTATTGTATAATAGGGGAGTGCCGGACTGATTATGAGCTTCGGAAGAGACAAAGCTTGCACATCACTCTGTAGTATCGGAACAAGTACAGTAACTTGTTCTCTCGTGAAAGAGATAGGATACTCTCTATATCGAATGAAATTACCATCCAACTGTAACAAAAGATTTCAGAAGAAGTTTATTGATCATGTTGGCGAAGGAGCAGATCGATAGAAAGAACAATGAAAGAAAGCAAAGAAGTGGATGTGTTCCTAGGAATGATAGTCGCTGGATTGGAAGATATCATAAATCTGGAAACACCCCTATGTGAGTATCACTTTCCTTCTTAGAATTTAAGAGACTTTGAATCTCAATAAAGACATCTCCCAATATGAGATTAAGAGATCTCATGAAGTGAAAAGGAAAAGACAGAAGAAACTAAGAACAACGGAAGATGAACATGGAAGATCTGATAAACAGAGCGTTCATGAGAACTTGAAACTGCTCGATCAACTCGATTTGAAAAGTTTTATTTAAATTATGAAAACCAAAGTTTAAGAGTGAACAAGCAAAACACAATGATAAACTGAGATGCACCATTATGAGAAATCAGTAAACCTATGGTTAAGTAACCACAGTATCTTTTTACTTCACCAGGAAAACACATATGTACAGAGATAATACAAAGAATTACTCATGTGATGAGTTCAGATATGGTAGTAGAAAAGGCAGCAGGTGATCAAGATATAACAATTTGAGCTCATGGTATATAGTTAATATAGTTAACTAGATGAGGAGGACTGCTGAGTACCGACCGACTCCCAACCTCCGTAGCGTTTTTGTCACCAGGACATTCAAAATGTACACAATGGAAAACCTAGGAAAGTCAGTTTGTGAGTTAGATGAAGAGATTATTCCTACTATTACCTCATTCGCAGAGTTGTAAACACCCACTATTTTGATAAAAACCACAATTTGTGGATCAAACTCTATCATTTGCCAACTTCTGAAAATTATAACATCTCAAGGTTGAAGACTAGAGTGAACGTCTCTTACCTGCATTGCAATTTAGTCCTATCAGCAATTCTTATCCAATTCTCCCTATTTGTAGAAACCTCGATGTAATATGAGTAATATCGATCATCACAATCCCACAATAACATTCTGACAAAACACCAAATACGGTTATGGTTTCAAGTATCTTACCGCATTGAGCTGATTTTATACGGCTGATTGAGTTGTATTGTGATTGAGCCACTTTCGAGTTGATGACATGTATATCCAGTATCCCAGTCATATCCAGAAACCTTGAAAACAACCAAACATTGAGAAAACCAAGAAAGGAAGTTTATACTTCTCCGTTCAGCAAACAGTTCCTACATCTAGCAACTCCTTCTACGACAGTTGCGAAATTTTCTATTGTGGCAACATTTGTGCTTGGTACTGAAAAATAGGAAAAAGCTATAAGTGGTGGGAAAGGCATCAAACCTATCACACCATTGCTTTCGTCAATAAGCGGGATGTCGTGAAGGTAACAAGCTTCGAAAGAGTACAAATGAACGACACGACTCTCGGAATTGTGTGTTCCAACTATTCTTATGAATCTTAAGCTTCTCAGTGAGCGAATGAATAGAGAATTCTAATCAAACCTCACTACACGAGGACAGAAATGGATTATCTGTCTAGCACGACACAAATACTTTGAATAATCGACAACACGAACCCAATCTTTGCAATCCATGCTTACCTGAAGACGATTTAAGAATTAGAAGCAAAACTTGTAATCTTACATATATAACATAACTGTACATTCTAGAATCTCTATCAGGAAAATTGAAACGCAACGTGTTAATGATATAGGGGTTCCCCAACTGAATTGTCACACCTTTTTCGTCTCCAATAGAGTGCCTAGTGAGAAACAAATCTGTTTCATACATGTTCCCTGAAAACAGATGTTAATGTTTAAAAATAGCATTTTTATCTACCTGCTGGCGGTTCACCGCCTGATAAGAGATTGTTAGGACTTTCACCATATATAACAGTTGCTCGTAGTTGAGCTGTGGCAACATTGACGTCAGGAGCTTCAATAACAAGTTTCAAAAAAGGATAATAATAAGACACTAACTCATGAACCCTCTGTGCATTAAATCAGTTGTTCTCTTTTTTGTTTGCTCTTCAATAGCATCTAATAAGGTGTCCGGATCTAACAAATTGGAAGGTCGAACAACATTTAAAAGATCAGACTGTCCTATAAGAGGCAACCGCAGACACTTCATCAATGTTTGTGACGATGAATCCTATAAGACTCAGTTATTAAACTATTTCACGATTGACCAAACCCTCGCGGAAAAATCATAACGTATCCATTCTCGGATGGCGTTGAAAATTTCTATTTCAGGAGCACAGAAAGAATCTCGAGATATGAGTTGGGTTACTGCTCCAAGGGAAAGTTGAGAAAACCCCTGAAAGTCTAGAGGATGAATGCAATGAATGAGACACTTACGTCTGTTGTGACTATTTCAGAAGCATTACGATCTGCGAAAACTAAACAGTACTCGGTGAGATCCTTCAAAGAAAAGAGAAGCGAAATGTTGAATATGTTACATAAATTCCTCGTGTTCAATACAGCCTAAGAGTTGTTCGGTACAGGATCGAACAAAGAAAAGAAATTACCTTCAAGTAGTCTGATATTGAGCACTGCAACTTGGGAAATCCATATTTGTGAGCTAACGCCAAAACATCCAGAACCATATCTTCTTTATGACCTTCCAAAGTTAATCTACCACAGTATATGTATCTACAGAAGAATATTGGGCCATGAGCATAACTCAAGTAACTTTACTTCATTAACAAACGGAACGCTGCTTTATTTTTCTCATTTATAGTGATGGATTGATATTCACTCTCTTTCATTCCACCATAGAACAGAGCTCTGAACAATAGAAGTTAGAGAATTCGGACCACTGAATCACCTGAAGTATTCACTCCTCGCCGCTAAAACTATTTTGTGAACTTCAAATCGTTCCTCGTCAATTATTAAAGTAACATCACTGAACTCTGGCTTATTAAACAAACTTTCAAAGCTTTCAGACAAGAAAAGAGAATGATCTATCTCTCCATAAGCTCCTGAAACTATTTTTTGAGTGATAGTGCGCACACTTAAAAGAATAACCTGGACTCACGTCCATTGCGCCATGAGATATCAGCTTTATTAGGCTCTCTGTGTTACTCATTACAATCTGCAATAATTTCAGAATCGTTGAAAATAGTTAAGGCGCTATATAAATAATCCAAAGAAACTTAATTTTACCTTCTAGGAAAGTACGCAACAAGTCGTCGTACGCAAGAAAAGAACATGTTTATGCTCAAGGATGTAATGTTCGCCAAGCATATCACATTGTCTCAATGAAACAAGGAATTCAATGATTGTTCTAGCTTGTTAGTGTTTCATCTATCAGTTTGACTTGACAGTGTAGTTTTTGGATATTGTATATTCGTACGTTTGAATACATAGCCACTATCGCGAAAAGTGAGAGTCATAAATGAAGAGAAACTGATATTACTACTGTTCGGATGAAACGAAGAATAGCTAGTCGCATGTGATCAGATCTCGAGAGAAAGATAATCATGTCGTGGGTTTCAAACCATTCGTTTTGGGATAATTAAGAAAGTGAGGCTTCTCATTCTCTAAGCTGCGATTCAGCGCACGAACGTGAAATATGCGTGAAAGATATGAAAGTTGCAGAGAAGACGATTTAACAGAACTTGATAGACATGGATGGATACTCATAAAAAGCTTGTGTAGTGATGAGTATGCTTATTATTTTTTCATTCCTGGTTTCATTATTCTCCTCATTTAACTGCCATGTTGATATTCTGATCAACTACTTCCAATGGAAGGGAAATAGGAATAGACCTTCACAGGTTGTGTGCCTTTGCAAAAAAGCCATTTTACCTTAAGCTTCATTTTCTGCTATAGACCATTGAGCATTGGTCTCGAAATTCATGAAGTCGGCACTTGCAATCCTATTGCTATCAAGGTTGATCGGTTGGTGCTAGTTTATAACTGAAAGCGAACCACCATAATGCGTCATTAGATTCTAATTCGTGCTTAAGGTTTAATACTGATGTCTTAACTAAAGTACCCTTGACGAGAATGATGTCAGATTTGAATTAATTTTTTTACTCATCGAAGTGAGTTGCAGTTCGAAAGATTAAGAACAATGTGATTTTCCAATTTGAGCTGTGTTAAGACATGTTGGTCTTCTTCTGATGTTTTAGGGTTTCACGAGTAAGCACCTCCGTATTCCCTGGCTCAATCTTCCTTAGAAGAGTGAAGAGGTCAAAAAAATTAAATAGAAAGCGCCAGATAATACTGCTCAGTCGAAAGTTTAGCATCAGCACAGATTGACTTTAGTTGTTCAGAAGTCTTCTAATCTCATGATAACGACCATCAACACACCGAAGGCTAAACTAGAAAGAAATGTCTATCGAGAATGGTTTTCGTATTTTGCAGTACGCATTTAGTACCTTTGTAATCATCGAACATATCAACTATATTTGTAACACCCGCTTTCCAAGTTGGAACTACATTGTTTTTCGGAGACGAACAAATGTTTTTTGGATTTGAAGATCGGTTTGTTGCCGTTACGCTGTTGTTCTGAAAAGGAAGTATTCTCCGGATATTGAATTGGATCATCATACGACATCTTGATCCCACCTCATATTGATAAAAATGTCATGAAATACGTAAATCGTTCCCTCATTACGATTGAAGCTGCAAGTAAGGAAAGGACAGTCTGGGCTGTCTACACCGTATCTTTAAGCATGCAGCATTTTGTATGAGAACTTCAAGCTTCAAGTTTTTGCAGTCATGATCTCTTAAGTGTGACCAATAATTGTTTTTCCTTATTTAGTATTACTGAGTATGAAATAAAAATATTTATAACTTTCTAACTATTTACAAAACACAATGAGCAAATGATATATCTAACCATCTATAACCTGTATCGAATACCACATCATCACTGGTATTAGAAGTAAGAAAATATAATTTATAACCTGTGCAAATGCTTCTAATGAATTGAGATTTCAGATGAACGAAAGAAAACAACAATGAGATATACTATTGTTAAGATAATTGCAAACTTTCATTTCAATAAAAGAGATTTTGACTTAGAGGAATATCAGCATAAGAGGTTGCTAATTAGCTATCAGCGTTCTGAGGATGATTTACCCGTTAGATAACCTCGTAATAGGAACATAGATAGAAATAATTATGTGACTAATTGATTTGAATGACGACAGATTCGCATTCGGAAACCTTTTGTGATGGAGGATTGGATGAGCATTGACGCACTGATCGACCAGGTGTGCGTAGTAACTGATGAAATTCCCACTGAAGCTGTAATAGGAGAAAGATAAAAATATAAATTTGCTTCAGAAATGTCATTGTTGCAAAACAGAAATTAGTTTTTATTCTAATAATAGGATAAAATAAGTTGATAACTCACTCTTCCATCAACCATATCAACAGGTGGCAGCGAGTATTTCGGATGTAAATAGTCGTTCACTTTGTATGGCTGTGGCCTACTGGGAACGTTCAAAGATAATTTCTTTGCTGATTTAGAAAATTTGCGTGGAACTTGACGACAAACATCTAACGAAGTGCTAGAAATGCTTAAATGTGAAAATCAAAAAGTCACATGGACCATTGAGTACCTGGATGATATGGAATCAATTTCGACGAACTTCGTATTGCGCCTTGGCGATTTAACGGAACTGAAGGGAATCCCTTTACGCGGATGACATCTACACAAGTATATAATGAGGAGAGAGGGAGATTGTCATTTGACTTACTTTGTAGGAATTAAGGTACACCATCCCATGAAGAAGCCGATCAATATGATAGTATAGGCTAGAAGTATACCTATTGTGATGTAGAGCAGCATAAAAAGGTGGCTAGCATTCGTTCACTGAAATCAGGATTGAATAGCTCATGTAAGAGTGTCATAAACTAAGAAGATCATCGAATACGAAGATAACTATGTGATTGCAATGGATGATTTGAATGGACCCGCTTTGAATTATCATGTTAGTCATTCATCGAAACATCTCTTTCTCTCTCTTCTCACTCTTTCTCCTTCATTTTCATTCTCCATCTCTCTTGCTAGTTCTTGCTCATTCATGATTGTTTAGTAATTGTTTTATTCATGAAATTTTTAAAAACTATTAAAGAAATTTTTTTGCAAAAAAAATAAAATATAAATGAGATAAACACGAAACACGTGAAACACACGTGGATAACTTTACGTGAACATCACGTAAATGAATCATATCGTATAGGAGGTGAAGCATATGTGTGGACGGTTGAAGTTATTCTTAAATCATCATAAATTCATGATGCCTACGTCAGAGGTTTGAAGGAAATGGCATGCAATCAGTTTTTTTTTCTGACATTTTGTAAGGATCGTTTGGTGGGCTTTAGCTTTTGCTCATGCAAAACTGAGAAAGAGAATGGCTGGCGAGAACAGAAATATTCATAGAGCAGAGGACCATCTGAATCATTTGACTTTTCATATGAGGAAGTCGTATATCTGTTTATTTGGAAGAGAGAGATGTAGAGAGAGAGAGAGAAGGGACAGTGGAACAGCTTCTGAGAGGAAAGCTTTAATGGTCATCTATTAGTTTTTAAACGAACTTTAACAGCTCTAAATGAGAAAAAAAGAAAAATTTTCATTTTCGTCTCTGTGATTGGCAATTTCTCAGCAAATTTTCATAAAATGCAGTTTTCTTAAAGGCGATGAAAGATCAAGAAACATGTAGATATGGAGAGTGAGAAGTTGTAATAGAGAGAATGAAAGGCCGAGTTATGAACATCCATGCTTCCGTAGTACAAAGGATGTTCTTTCTTTTTCTCTCTCACTATCTCTCTCTCTCTCTATCTATCTCTCTCACTCATTTCATATCTTCATCTCAATACAAAATAAAAAGTGAACAGTATAAGCATTGAATGGAAAGAAAAAAAAAGTTTGCGACAGCTTCATAATTAAAGTTGAACGAGGAATTTTCTCACATTTCATAAATTGTGCAGGAAAAAGACAAAACTGAAAGAGAAAAAGCCGGATAAGGTATATGAGACGTTGCCTATTCTCCTTTTTTTCGTTCTTCTTCATAATTATGAAGAAGACAAGTTAATCTAAATGCAATGAGCAATAGATGGAAGGATCAATTCCACAGAGACAGAAGTAGGAGATAGCTCTAGTATAATAATTATATTTATAATATAAAAGATGCTTAATAAATCATTGACAGAGTTATCAATGATGAACTATAGAATGGAGATAGAACAGTCAATTCATTAGCATATCTGAATGTTCACGTGAAAAGTACGTGAAAAGTATTTCATTTTCATTTTGTTGAAGCATTGATGAGCGGTTGGCAGTGCGTTCAAGGGGGTGTTCTCCAGGTGTATCCAAAGAGAGACAGAGAGAGAGAGAGCGAGAAAGAGAGAGACTTGTTGTTTCACTTGTATTAAGAAAACAAAACAAAACATCTTTCGGCGATGTAGTAAAGATGAATATTCAGTGAACAGAAAGATGAGCATCAAGTAAAATATACAAAAATGGATGAAAGGCAAAAAGGATAATGAATGAGAAACATATTTCTTAAGATTTCAGGAGGAAGCAGATTGCTTTGAAGTTCACTGTACTTCTACTGATCAAATCCGTTATCATCAACATGGCTACATATTAATGAAACTTTTTACCGAAAGAAGCACACAGACGATGAAAGAAGTAAAAGAAAAACTTTATTTTTCTTTTTTTCTCTTTTTTTTGAAAATTAGCCAAGTTCATCAACGTCATTTTAATGGATTAAGCTATATTAGGCAGATGCGATAATCCCCATTTTTCTTTTTAAAAGTTGGAAAGTGTTGTGACGTCAAACAGAAGACTTCACACATAGAAACGATAATCTTAAAATGAAAATGAGTAAACAACAGAAACGAGTAAAAAAGAAATACAAAATAATAATAAAAAGGAAACAAAGAGAATGAAGGAGAGAGAGAGAGACTGCGAGAATGAAAGAATCTGAATGGATGTTCACAGTCAATGAGCGTGGAAGAGATAGAAGATAGTACTCGTGGCTTGCAGTAATCCTTATCAACCAGCAAATTCTTTTTTTTTTTGTATTTTTTTTCTGCTTTTCTTTTTTTCTCATTTATTTTTTTTATTTTTTTTACAAATTCATCAGAAGATCAGCATCAAGCAGCCTTTTTCTAATTGATATAACATACATGTTATAATGTAATAAGCTGCTGACAACTGAGGAAGCTTCCAAAATGAATGAATGACGGAAGCTTCTGGGTAATGAACTCAAATTATGCTTTCTTACACACCATCACATAATTTGTCGTCAGCATTCACAACCCTGAAGGTTGAGCTACACGTTAAGCGAAGGTGGATCCGGAATTGAAAAATTTCAAGTCACATTGCGTGTTTATGATTAAATAATAACCGAAAATTCATCAAAAATGTTCAGTTCAGTTTTTAGTTAAAGCACACCACAATCATCATCATGTTGAATGTATCAAGAGATGAATGATAAAGAATTTTCTTCGACTTCTTCTTCTTCTTTTTTTCGCGCTCATATAAACTCGAAACGGGTTAAAGCATACTTAACTATATGTGAATAGTCAATCGAATTCGTGTCACACGACATCCAATCTTACTTCAAAATTATTCAGATGATATGACACAAATCGGAATTAATGACACACTCACACACATACTCACATACACACACATATCACATACCTTTCAACAGGAAAGGGGATATGGCATGGAGGTAACAACGTGTTGCAATGTGAAGCCTTTGGAGATGGAACATCTACCGTATCTAATAGTGTTATCAGAATATAATATCAATAACAAATTGGGGAAATATATTTTTATATGGAAATAGATAAAAAAAAACCATTTCCTCTCATGGCTTCTACAACATGAAACTCGGATGAAAGGAATGATTGGAAGTCTTCAATGAGATATTTTAAAAATATAATGATTGTCTGGTCTTAATTGAAAAGGAAAGAGAGAGAGAGAGAGAGGACAAGAAATGATGAAGACGAACATGAGCCAGACAGAGGGTGGGAGGAAGATTATATGTTCATTACATGTGTTAAACTACGAAATAGGGGGAAACTGAGATCATTTCTTGATCTCTTCCTCTTCTATACTTGGAACCACATTAGTTATATGGTATCGTTGATACCAACATGCTCTTCTCTAGACTCTCATTTCCTCATTCGCTTCCTCTCTCTTCTTTTTTTTTGTTTGAAACTCATGATGATGCTGTGGTAGTGAACATCTCACCAGATTGATGCTGTTTAATTGGATAATATGGTCTTCGAATAGAATGATCCCTTACTTTTGTTTGAAAGCAAGAAATCAGCTGACTGTTGAGAGTATAAACAACACAAACAATAAAATAGAAATGCAACCGCTCACCGTCTGAACAAGACATTAAATGAAAGTACCAATTTGATTTGTGAGCGCACGTGAGATTTCACGTGAATGCAAAGTGTGTCACAAAATGAAAAATGATTTGATAGAAAGCGCGGGGGTTGTAAGCAGTAATAAAGCTTAATGTTAGATTAATTGTGAAACGATTTTTTAAGCACAGGCTTTACCCTTGAGTAAAAGATTGCAAAGAGAGGGTAAGTGAGAGATGGATAGAGAGAGAATGGTGGGGGGTAGGGAGAGAGGGAATGAAAGCAATATGAGATGATGCTAGTACATGTGAAGGTATTTTACGTATTTCATTGCATACAAAGAAAGAAGTTAAAATATAAAAACATGATGAAACAAAAAAAGATTTGAAATATGTAAAGAGATTGAAAGATAGTATGAAAGTAAGAGAGAGTGAGACTGAGAGTGAGAGAAGAAGAATCGAATTACATGTGGATGGGATATTCAATCCCAAGATAGTAAGAAGCACTATAATATTTGTATAAATATAATAGTATTTAAAGAGATTTAGACAATCTAAAAAACTAATGAAAAATGAAAAATTTTTAAAAATCGGAAATAGTATTGGCCAAAGCGAAATGAGATGAAAGCCCTACAACTGACCATTGATGCCCTCAGTACAGCAACAAACACTTTTGTTAGGAAGGATAAGCTGTACGAGGAATAAAAAAGAAAAAAGAAAGAAAAAAAAAGATTTTTACATTATTCCGTGTCTGCTTTTTATTAAATCAGTTCACGTCAGTGTATGTATGTGTGTGTGTGTATGCTTGTGCGTTTGGAGGAATAAATAGAAAGTGTCAATGAAGATGATATTTCAACGAAAAGTTTGTTGTATTCCTGTAAGTGCAGACATCTGAAGTTCTTTGAAGATCATACTTTACTCAATATCTTTCAAACTCTGCTAAATAAAAGATATTTGACGAGAAACAGAAAGAAAAAAGCTTTCTCGTTCTCGGAAATGATGTAGCATGTTCTATGTATGGCTTATGAGTAATTTGGATTCAAAAAATGAGGCGACGAATATATATGAGAGCCATCACAGCTATGGGGCGTTCAGGCTTTTATGGGTTATCCACCTACTGAAATTTTCAGGGAGAGAAAAGGTATGAATGCAGAGAGAAATAAAAAAAAATCTCAGAGAAGCAGTGAGGTGAAGTTGATGAGTGAGGTAATGCCAGAGAGAGAAGAGGTAGAAGAGAAAAGGATTGAAAGAATAGCGAAAAAAGAAAAAGATGAATGATTTCGAAGAATGGAAATCATTGGGGAAACACCTTTTGGCGTTTGATGTGATAAGATGAGGATGACAGATCGACGGAAACGGTCAATACTCCGTTGGCAGAGTGATTGAGAAAACTCGAAAAAAACAGAAGATGTTTGAATAGAAAAAAAGGAGTGAAAATCTGCTAATTCGTTTATTTTTAGAA